CTACACTTGATGTGTATTTACACTTTATTTTTGAAGGGAAAACTTAAAATTGTGGAATGTTATTCCCAAAGATGATGAAAGCCATCAATGCACTGATATCCTGGAGTTACTTGAGATCTGTTTGCAAGGGTGAAGTGTCACCTGTTGAAGTGAGCAGGATCTGTAGTAAAACTGGCCTGTGCTGCTCTCCTGGAGTGCTGAGGGACCTCCTCAGAGCCAGGGCAACTGGAGGCTTCACTTTTGATTGATTCCTCACTACCTCCTGTTGAAGCAGGGACCATCTGTAGAGAGCTCTGTTCGAGGTCAAGTCAGCTTTTTATTTTCGTTATTAGCCGTTCACAATGCAAGTGCCTTATTTGAATAAGATGTTACCTTCCAGTAACGGACTTTCCTGATGCGGTGATATCCGTAGATTGTGGATGTGAGCCATCAGAGGTGGTTTGGCTACCTGAAGAAGTTACTCTTTTATTTAAGTTGGGTTGTATTTAACATAGTTTCGTGGAGTTGACTGCAGGTTCTTGCCCACTTTGAGTTTTTGTTTTTCCACCATCAGTTACTTGTCAGTACTTCTTACTTGTCAATAGCTGATTACAACTTTTTAACTTGATAAAACATTAGAGTGTAGCCCATGAAATGCAAATTTAGTTGTTTCTAGCTGTTGCTGTTTCCTGTTGCTAAAACTGTGTTTCTTGGTACAGTGATTCAGGAAATATCTGGAAGAGGTGAGAAACAAAGAATGCTGATATATATCTTTTTTTTTTTTCCTGTTTGATCTTTTATTATATTAACATGCATAGAAGCATTGAAAAAGTGTGGAAATCTGTTAATCATTATCATCAATACTAATATGTAAAGTTTAAAATACTTGACTACTGAGAAGCTGATGGATTGCATTTGTTGATGGAAAATGATGGTTTGCATTTGTGACAAGCACATTGTGATCCTGAAGCAGCAACACTACCAGGTTGTCACCCTTCATCTTTGCCATTCCTGAGTCACCATTATACAGATATAAT